CGTACTTTGTTCCGTTACATGTACTATCAATAAGGTGGTTTCCGTGCCCAGGTTAAACATGGTGGCCATAACCACCACTTTGAACCTGTTTCGAGACAATACCAGGCTAACATACCAAAGATGGCTAAACAGACGCACCTGTCGCAGCTCCAGTTTAAAGTTCGTGCATCAAATTACAGTCCGTACCTGCCACAAAGTGACTATTACACCTGATCACCTATGGTGAATGATGTTTGTGGTGAAAATAGTACTTTGGATAATATTTGATATAAACAATCGGATCCTCTTATAATTAAATCTTTAACTTAATACAAAATAATATAATGTCTTTTGGGAACCGTATTATTATACATTTCAGTATTTATTTGTAGCTTTATTGAACCAATTATCCTGTTAAAACGTCAGATAATATGAAACAAAGCAATTTGGAGCATAATGTACTTTCTTTTGTGTTATGAGCTACAGAGACTGTCAAGCAACGAATCAGCTTATACATATGTTTCACATAAATGATAAGTATGCTTTGGAAAGCTATGCAAAGAAACACTCACTTATAACGGAACGGCAAAATAATCGTGGATTCGCCCGCCATACCTCGAGTTCTGTGCGAAATTAATATATAGGTGCAACGGAGAAAACATTTATGGGTCGTTGCCAAGAAAACTCCGGTCTAATACAGTTTCTGTGCGGAGTTCTTCACCAGATGAACTGGGTATTATCTTCGGAATAGCTACATAAAAATATTTCTTACAGTGATATCACGCGTAACTATCAATCCGTCTAATTGTTAAATGCTACAATAAACCAATATTTGTTAATAACATAATAATTTGTTAACTTTAAAATCAAAGACACTTATCAACCAGCTAATTTACTACTGGGTGCAATAAATCGCAGTCAAAACGATTGCCGATGTAAAGCGGTTGAAAAATGTATAGAAATCCCCACGCTAGAGCGTCGGTGTATCAATTTGAATAAACAATAAATCAACCATTGCTTCCGCCCGCTCAATTTACAAATATTTATTTCTCCAACATCAACCCACTTAATTTCGACAATTCTGACAGTTTAATAAAAACAAATATTAGTTTGTCATTTCAGCGTTGGTGTCGTCACTTGTCAGCGTGCTGTCCACTGCGCAATGCGCCAAACCCATAAAACGCATACCTCTGCTCAAACACACCCTCATATACATATATACAGACATCTAAAATGCCGTCTCAATTTCAATGAATTGTTAAAACTGTCTCAATGTGATACAAATGATCTGCGCAATTATGTGCGACGGACACAAAGGCCTTGCGCCCCGAACCACCGTCAAACGCGCAACGGCACAGCCGAATGGCGAAATAAGTGAAGGAATAATGTTGACATTTGTGTGACAGTAGGTGGGGTGCGATGAGGTTTGACAGGAATCAATTCAAATCAACTCTATGATGGATGCAATTACAAATTTGTGATTTTAAGCAGAGCGCATGAATGATTATAGGCTGGCAGACTGAGGTTAGGAGCGCACCGCTGAGCTGATATTTATGGAGATACGGTTATAATTCATATGTATGTGCAACAACAAAAGTAAAGGAAATAGGTGGCGACAACTTACCCTTATCAGTTTCAGGATTACGCTGATTCTCCTCAAAGAGCATACGCAGTTGGTCCTCCTGTTCTTCGGTCCAAACGCCTTTAGCGCTATTGAGCATAGAATACAAGAGGAAAGTCAGCAAGTTAGTATAATACTACAAAGGTCTATATGTATTGCAATACAAAGGCAAAATAATCATTTATCATTCCATCAGCAGCAGACGGCAAGCAGGCAGTCAGGTTGGCTGACCGAATGGCAGCCAAGTGATACATGAATAGCTCAACTGCCGCTGTCACATGAGCAGCAGTTGAGGCGTTGGCTTGCCGCGGTTTACAAGCAGAAAGCAATAATGCTGTCTGTTTCTTTCAAAAAAGTATTAGAAGGGAATTTATTAAATAATGAACGCGGTTAAATGAAAAATGCTCCAGGGAGCTTACCAAAAGGACCGCACCAGAAGACTCCTGCTGCCGCCAAAGCTGCTTTAATAATGGTTTGCGCTTATACTTACGGCTCATATGCATCCAAATAGCCGCCTTCCAACTCGTTCGCCTCCTTAACGCTCTTCCAGAATAATAATTCAGCGTAGATTTTAGGATTTTTGGGCGCCACTTCGACAAATTTACGCACCACATAGATGCCGAGACGACGCAACTCCTCGTGATGGGCATCACGTTCGACGCTGAAGACCTGCTCAAAGATGCGAAGAAGTTTCGCCTGCAAACAAATAATAATAATAATGAAAAGAGTAAGGTTAGGTATTTCGTGAAATAGTATAGAGTTAAATACAAAAATAACAAAGTGTTGAGACGGATACGATGATGACTTGTTTGAAAACGGCTTGAAAGTGCGGTTAACCGAAAGTCGACGCGAGACAAGGAAGCCTCTTCACCAATATTAAACAAAGTGCCAGCTGCTGGCTGTACGTGCAATTTATTTTATAATTGCACATATACACGAGCAAGTGATGCTATACACATACAAGTATACCTAAATACATGTAAATGTATCCTTAAGCACACACGCTTAGTTGGGTGTTTATGAGTGCTCAAGCGATTGTATATACAAAATCATTAGCGGTTGCAATGCGCACAACTGGGACCAAACCGCGCGCCTGCCAGCGCCAGTCAGACAGTCAGTAAGTCACCGAGACGCCACAGTCAAAGCAATTCAATTATCCTGCTGCAGTTGCTAGCGAGTGTTTGTGTCTGGTGTCATTGCATGCTCCGCGCGTTCAAGTCGGCCGCGGTGAGAGTTCATAGCTTGGCTGGACAGTGGGTTAAAACATCTATTTTTGCACAGTATCAAGAATTATTAGAAGAATTATCACTTGCATGGACGCACAACAGACGCACGAGCTTACGAGATTTGATGACAAAATATTTAAGCTACTGTTCCCGAACGCATTTGCAGAAATCCCCTTAGAAAATAGAAATGTATGTCAAGAGAAATAGATATATCAACCAGAACAATGTCAATACTTATTCTAGATGATCTCTGCATGAAAGCCCCCCGTCGGTAAAGATTTTATTTTTATGAGAACCCGCGGTTCAGTCTTGAAGAAGTTTTAAACAATCAAAACGACAAAATCTACGCAAAAATTCCAAAGATGCAAAAACTGTTATTCAAAGACGTGGTCCTTGCTCAGCCGAGGTAAAGCAGCCAAGCAATACTCTCTTCGATAAATGGCATTGGATCTTCTAGCAGGACTTTACTTTAGCACATAAGGCAAAAACCACTAAGCATAAATATTGGCAAAAATCCAATATTCCTGCTTTCATAGCGGCAGATGATTGGTCGCTAGGAAGTCCTTATTTGAATATATTGGACTACAGCTTGTGGTCAGCGTTGTAGAACATGGCCTGTCGAATATCTCGCAGAAATTCGGAGAATCTCAAATAATCTTTGGTTCGAGTAGCGCCGTCAATACCAATGGAAACTGTGCAGACTGATATTGATCAATGGCCGAATCGTTTGTGGAATTGTGAGAAGCAAAAGGTGACCACTTGAAACACAAACTGAAATTTGTACATCGCTCAGTAAATATATTTTCACAATAAACTTTATCTAAAATCTAGGTATTTTGGTTTCATTTGTATAACGGATTGAACTTGTAAACATAACTTATTGCCTTCCGCTTTTGTCTTTTGAATTTCGCGGCTATGTACAAAGCGCTACAGAGCTCGTATCTGGCAACACTAACATAATTTGACAAACCTACAAAAACAACGCTATGCATGATTGGTTTGGATATTGCGTTCAACAGTTATAGACGTGTAAACATGGAGTTCACTAACGCCGAAATTCGCACTATTTTAAGTTTTCTTCGTTAAAGGCAAATCCGCTAGATAAACGTTCCGTGAGATTAATGGTGTTTTGGGGGATGGTACTCTATCACTTCGAACCGCGGAGGAATGGTTTCGACGATTCAGAGCCGGTGAAAACGACACCATGGATAAGCCAGCCGGCGGAAGACCTGTGACGACAAATACCGATCAAATCATGGAATACATCAAGTTAGACCGGCATATGGCATCTCGTGACATCGCCCAGGAGATGGCAGTTAGTCACCAAACCATTTTGAACCATCTGCAGAAGGCTGGATACAAAAAGTTTGATGTTTGAGTGCCGCATAATTTGACGCAAAACCTTCGGACCGAATCAACGCCTGCGATATGCTGCTGAAACGAACGAACTCGTCCCATTCTTGAAGCGGATGGGACTGCGACGAAAATGGATCACATACGACAATATCAAGCGAAAACGGTCGTGGTCGAAGGCCGGTGAATCGTCCCAAACAGTGGACAAGCCGGGATTGACGGCCAGGAAGGTTTTGCTGTGTGTTGGTGGGATTGGAAGGGAATCATCCACTATGAGTGCTCCCATATGGCCAGACGCTTAATTCTACCATCTACTGCGAACAACTGGACCGCCTTGAAGCAGGCGATCGACGAAGCGTCCAGAATTGGCCAACAGGAAGGGTGTAGCGTTTCACCAGAACAACGCCAGACCACACACTTCGTTGATGACTCGTCCGAAGCTACGGGAGCTCGGATGGGCGGTTTTATCGCATCCACCATATAGCCCGGACGTAGCGCCAAGTGATTACCACCTGTTCCTGTCCATGGCGAATGCCCTTGGTGGTGTGAAGTTGAACTCAAAAGAGGCTTGTGAAAAGTGGCTGTCCGAATTCTTCGCAAATAAGGAGGGGGCTTCTACGAGGAAGGTATTATGAAGTTGCCGTCTAGATGGAAACAGATCATCGAACAAAACGGCGCATATTTTAACTAAATCCGATCATTGTAACACTTTTTATAAAACAAAATTTAATGTTGGCTCTTTGTTCGAAGCTCATTTTCGCACCGATGACAAAAACATACTGACACTTAAAACGCAATAACTTCACTTCCAATAGATGAAATATCATGAATTTTACTGGAAGTCGATAAAGGATAGCAGATTCTAACGCACTAGTCGACATATAGATGGCGCCACTAGAGTTTACTTTGTTACTTTTGTACTGTTTACTTTGGAACGCTCCTTGTGTATATATCTTAGGAAATAGAAATCTGCGATGCGCGAGCTCTTAAAATTAATATTAATGGCTCGGCGTCACAGGCATCTTTTTACATCTCCACGAAAGTTTTACGTGAGGATTGATTTCGAAAAAAATAAAAAAATATTTTTTTTGAATCAGCCTAATATATATCTACATTTACCTCGATCAATTTTAGGTATTTCAAACAAACCTAAGGTGATGTTTATAGTATGTGAAATATGTTGCGAGAATATACAAATTAGCATTCAGTGACTAATTTTGAAATTTAGATTATTTAAGATATTTAACACTGCGGGTCAAACTATTTAGCTTCTGTAATAAAACTTCTCGAAGTCTAACTCCCATAGTCTATTGCAAGCTCATGACAACATAACAGACATAAAAGTTGGCGCACCCTATATAGAAGTAATAATACGAAAAATGTATATACTAAAAAGCTAGTCAGTCTAGACATATATTTGTTGAAAGTCAAAATATATCAGTCAGTTTTAAAGAAATTTCATGAATCGAACACATGTACTCCATGCAGAACAATTCAATTCAAACTCCTTGGGATGCAAACCCAGAAGAGTCTACCCGAAACAGAACAAAGCAACAAAGCAGTTTAGAGGCATTTTAGGCATTTTGTGCTAACTGTAAAACTAGAATGTTACAGATTATACTATTAAAATTTGCATAGGATTATTTACAAACAAAAATTGTTTCGAATATTAATTTTATTACAAGAAAATTGCCTGGCTTTAGTTGAAAAATATCATATTTTTATTTACAAAAGACATTGCAGTATATGTGAGAATTCAGCTGAATCTTTGTGCTGTAATAAATCACATTCCAAACTGCCGAAAAATATAGCATTAATTTGTAGCAAAAATAATTCCTTCATTTCTTGGCAATTTTAATTCAATCATAATATTTCAACAGCTAAAGCCGCTTGAGCGCGCGTATCTTGATTTATGAGCTGTTAAGAAGGAATCCTTTGCGCGCTCTTTATTTACAGCTATTGTTGCAAAGCAAATTACTGCAAAATAAATATGATTACTCATACATTTTCTGCTTTGTTTTGTTTTTTGTTTTATACAAGCAGCGTAAGCAGTTGCAAATCGATGCGAAAGAGGAGAGCGCAAAAATACATGCAAAGCGCAGTAAAAAAATATAAAAAATGAGAAAGAAAACTTGAAAATAAAAATTGCGCCAGAAATTATCGCAAAAACATTTTAATTCCTCTGCTTATGGCACCTAAGAATTTATTTATTTAGTCTGCAATTACAGTTAAACTGCCTGCGTCATTACAGCCCCGTCCAACACTAGCCTTGCAGCCGGCTCAGCAGCCCTACGAAGTTCAAGTTCATATTCGCAAAAAAACACACACACAAAAGAATAGAAAAAAGAGTAGTATAGCGCGATCCAAGGTGGAGAGCGGAAGGACGGCAAGGAGCAACAGGAAGTTTGTAACTTTTTCAACACACACACAAGAACCGCGCAGCTGCACCGTCCGAAGCCTCGAAAATAGAAAAAGTAGAAAACAAACAGCCAGAGTCAGGAGTTGATGCCGCCGCAGGCATAGACATACATGTAAGGTAGCAGAAAGGCAGCCTGATGCCGGCAGACGTTATCGTGTCGGGCCCAGACTGAACAAAGCCAGCCTAGCGGCAAATGCGGCGACTCACGTGCGCTGTTGCGCTTGTGGCGGGCGCTGTGGGCTTGAATTGATGCTGGCAGTGCCACACCGCACATACAAACAAATTTATATCGTTCACATACACATTCATACACAAAACACACACTGACATTGCAGCGCGTATTTTTTAAGTAGCTATTTCTATTTACACTCATTGGCGGCTGGATGCATGTGCACTTGCCGGAATATTTTGCCAGTGACTTTGATTTATGTTTGCTTTGCGTGCGAGAATACGACGGAAATTCGCCAAGCGCACAACAAAATCAACGGCAAACATGAGACCAAGCAACAGAGTCTCCGCGCAACCGGGTACACGCTCGAATGTTATATGTACCGCTATGCATGTGTATATGTGTCAGTAGAATAGAGAAAATTTGAAATTGGAAATTAAAATTTTACCTATTAATGTCTAATTACACTGGAAATTAAAAGTAGTGAAGGTGGCGGAGCGCTGTTGGCGCTCCGTCTAAAATATAATCGAAATTCAATTAAACTCAAAGTTGCATTTTGTCTGCAAAGTTCTTCAGCTGTTGGACCAACTGCTGGTGACGTAGTGGCCGTGGTTGGGTTTGACTCTGTACTGTTTATAATCTCGCTGTTGCTACAGATAAAATAGTTTTTGTTCACTAACGGTTGTTTGGTTCTTTGAAAGACGAATTCATATTAATAAAATAAATAAATTAAACTTCGATAATTATATATTTTGTGTCAAAAAAATGGGTTGAATTGGACAATACTCCCTTAATATAAAATTTACCAAACACTGGAAATAATTTCCCGGGCTTTGTTCCTGTGCAAGTTGCGAGAGTATTAAACATTTCGGTTACACCCGAACTTAGAACTCCTTACTTGTTGGATATAATTTCAGTTTTAAGCTGCAAAAAGTTTGTATATATTTATTTAGCTACGAGTTGTTGGTTAGAAAATAAACAAAAACTTTGGTTTTCTAAAATCCGCATTTTACTATTTAATATTGCGCACGAAAAACTAACTGAAGTAAGAACATGTCCGAAAAATGAAAACGAAAAAAATTGAGCGATACCGAGGAAAAGTATTAAAAGTCGAGTACGCTTCAGCTTCATGCTGCAATGTGTGATGACAAAAGATTAACGCTGTGTATTTCATGCTATTTTCTAATTGAAAATTATATGGTTTTAAAAATACACTCCAAAATTCTTAACATAAGAATGAAACTTAACTTAAAGTAAAATCCTATAGAATATCCTATTGATTGATTTGGATACAAATTGAATAAAAGTTCAATCTATCGAACTCTTCGTAAAATGTTAGACAGGGTGTATAATAAAATTTTTGGTGTCGTGATAATCTTTTTAAATTCAAGAAAAGCCCAATGTTATTTTCAATAGTGTAGTTATTGACAAATGATTTGCGTACTTTTGTTCCCATTCTTCAAACATTCAACGAGTTATTGGCGAGGTGACCATTTGCTCAAGATTGGGTCAAGCTTCAATATTATAAAATTTGCAAACTATAAAAGCAAAAACATTGCTAATTTATATATTTTTCTGTGTGTTTTTTACACAAAAGTTCGTTATCTTCAATCTTTACATAAAAGCTTTCAGCGTGATTCTAAAATTGACCAATGACCATTGTCGAAATCTGTTTGAGTTTTCACTTATAACTGCAATAAAACATATCGGTACATATCTTACATAACCCACCTATATTGAGTATATCAATTTTCATCTGTTCGTACATAACAGCTATTCAGAGATAACTTAATAAATATTGTAGAAATGTTGTTATCGCATTTTATTGAGTCCCTTCATGCCAAGCCAGCATAAACATAATAAAGTGATTTCTTCGATTAATTAGATATACTAACAATATTAAAAGGACTATGTGGAGCTTGGCATAGCGTCATTTGGCTCCAAACCAGATGTTATTATCAATGTGATAAATTATCGATTTTCAGACTAAAAAGGAAATAAAATTTATCAAATGTTGCTGAGGGAAATTAAAAACAAAACTGGCGTATTTTAAAATATATCTTGTTTTTTATCGTATTCTACATTACATATATCTATGAGATTAATAATTATTTTCAATCTTATATACTAGTATAAAAATTAAAATACATATGTATGTTTTGGCTTTATCAAACAAATGCTCTTCATAGATAATAAAATAGTACTCGTGGAATATTCGGATATAGATTTATTCAACATACGAGTAGACAAGGAATTACAAAAAAATATATAGTAAAATGAAACAAATTGAAAAGGAAATAAAAAATAACAAACATGAAATTAGAATACGGTTTAGCTTGTTTCAGGCAAAACTACGAGTTCTACTGAAAGAAATGTGTACAGCCAGAGTTGTATCGGTTTTTATTCTTATCGTGTACAACAAAAATCTTTCAAAAATTTGGTGTAAACTTACCTCTTATGACATAAGTCAATGTATTTTTTAATTTAAATATTATGAGGAGAACCTACTTTAACTTAAACTTGAAAAAAACAGAATTTTCAAACAAAATGCTCTGTCAAAATATCAGATTTTATATAAAGTAGTAAGCTCTCTCTTTGCTGAAGTCTGTATGGTTTAAAAATAAATAAATATAGTTAATTTTCTCATTTTTACATTTGAGAAAATTTAATAAATTACGGTATACAGATGTACCGATATTAAGTGGAGCGTTAAGATACAAGCGTGGTAGGGAACATTGTTGTGAACGAGCCTTATATTTTTCTTTTGTAACATGCAAAAATGGTTTCAACGACTCAGAGATATTGGTTTTGATGTGAGAAATGAAGAACGTTTTTGAAGACGCCGAACTGCAGCAATATTGGTAGAGGATGATACTAGTCCAAATGATTTTACTAAATGTGCACAGCAAACAATTTCAAACCGTTTAAAATGCTATGGAAAGATCCAAAGTGTTGGAAAGGGTGCATGAATTGAATGAAGACAAATGGAAACCGAAAAAAACACTTTTGAAATTTTACTTCAATGACACGAAAGAAAATTCAGTTGCATCGAATCGTCACTGGCGATGAGAAATGATTTATTTTAAGAATTTTAAACATAAGTTAATCTCGGGATCAACAATTAACATCGACCTAAAAACAATCGATTCGGTAAAAGGCAATGCTCTGTGTTTGGTGGTAAAAATGATAAATTGAATGATGTTTTGTGGAGAGCTGCTATCCACTCGCCGCATTCACCAGACTTGAAATCAAAAAATTGGGTGTCTGATTGATTTCTTCAAAAGACAAATTTATGTGTCTATCATAGTGGTCAAGAAAAGCAATGATCAATACTTTGAATAATTTTTTTTTACCTTCCATTCAAAATTAGTATTCATTTTCACAAAAAAACATTTCATATCGTTAACCTGGTATACTTCAATAGCTCTATTAAAGTCTAAAATATTAGTATATATGATAGAAACCATGTTCGTCATTACTTTATGCCCATGACATAGGAGTTCTGGTTCTTGTCAAACAATTTACGAGAATAAAAATAATTTACAATAGTTTAATTCGAAGAAAGAATAGGAAAGCCTGATTAAACTGCTGAAACAAACAAGATATTCCTATCTTTACTCTCACTACTCTCAATTGCTTGGATAAGCGAAACAGCAATTACTTAAACAAATATTTGAAGTGTATGAAAAAGAATACTTTAAGTATTTCACGGAAGAATAATTAAGCATTTTTCGCGTTATAATTTCGGGTTCGTATATAACATTTATATATAGCTAGGCACACATCTCCATGGTATGTAAAAAATATACCTATACAGTAATACTTACATGATACAGCATTGCCGGGACAGGAAGCAGGCAACAGCGATGCGGTACTAATATGGTCACAGCTGCCTTCAATGATTTTGTCGGTATATGATTCCAATCGGTTAGGACCAGCGTACACGCGCGTACGATTTTCGGATTTAGCAATCTGTGCAAAAAAAAAAAACAATAATAAATAATGAAATCAGTAACAATGAAAAGGTTAATGGTTGCGTTGGTAATTGGGAATATTGAGTGGAGCAAATGCTGATTGAGCAAAGCAATACAGTGGATACACGTGAAATTCGGGCGGAAAGAGAATTAAATATTAATTTCCAATTAATTAAATATATACAAGTATACGTACTTAAATGTCTGTGTATGTGTGAGCAGGTATCTACATTTAAGTGAAAACGCTTAGGTTTAATGTTTCATGGGTATCCAGTCAACATGTTTTAATTTAGGCAATTAAGCTTTGGCCCTTAAAGTATCGG